TCCACAACTTTCCTGTCTCCCCTCCCTCCTCCCCCTCCCCCCATCTCACGTTCCCTCCCCTCTTCCGCACCCCCTCCCGCTCTCCCTCCTCCCGTCATCCTCCCCTCCCCCCTTGCTCGCTCCAAAATTCCTCTCCCAAATCCTCTCCAAAGTTCCTCTAACGACCCGCCTCCATCCCGCCCCCCTCGTCGCCCCCGCCGCAATCCTCCTTCCGTCGTCCTCCATTGCGTCGCCTCATCGTCGCCCCCACCGTCGTCATCCTTCCGTCGTCATCCCTCACGTCGCTCCCTCGTCGCGCCCCATCCCGCTTCCCATGTTCCGCGCCCCCCCTCCCGTCCGCGTCGCCCCACCTCCCGTGTCATCCTGTCGTCGCCCCCCTCATCATCACCTCCAAACTCCATCATCTGTGTTTTTTTTTCCCCGCCCATCCCGTGGTGTTGGGTCCTCGTTTTGAAGGGGCGGCGCCCAGCGTTCCTCTCCTTCTTTCCCGCCCTCATCCCCCTCCTCCCTCCTCCCCCATCATTGCTTCTGCTCTCGGCACACCTCTCGCACGTTTCGTAACCTCATGGGGGGCTCCACCGACGACCCCAGTAAGGGTGTCCACATGCGGTTCCCCCATCCAGGGCAGCGTTTTGTAATCTCATAGTGAGCTCCACCGAATGCCCCAGCGGTGGTGTCCACATGCGGCTCCCCCACCCAGGGCAGCGTTGCGTAGCCCCATAGTGAGCTCCACCGAAGGCCCCAATGGGGGTGTCCACATGCGGTTCCCCCACCCAGGGCAGCGTGCCGTAGCCCCATATGGAGCTCCACCGAAGGCCCCAGTGGGGGCGTCCACATGCGGTTCCCCCACCCAGGACAGCAGCTCGTAGCCCCCATCAGGAGCTCCACCGTAGGCACCAGTGGGGGTGTCCACTTGCGGTTCCCCAACCCAGGGCAGCGCTTCGTAGCCCCATGTGGAGCTCCACCGTAGGCGCCAGTGGGGCTGTTCGCATGCGGTTCCCCCTACCCAGGGCAGCGCTTCGTAGCCACATAGGGAGCTCCACTGTAGGCCCCAGTGGGGGTGTCCACATGCGGTTCCCCCACCCAGGGCAGCGCGTCGTTGCCCCCATCAGGAGCTCCACCGAAGGCCCCAATGGGGGTGTCCACATGCGGTCCCCCCGCCCAGAGCAGCGCGTCGTAGCCTCAGATGGAGCTCCACCGAATGCCTCAGCGGGGGTGTCCACATGCGGTTCCCCCACCCAGGGCAGCGCGCCGTAGCCCCATGGGGAGCTCCACCGAAGGCCCCAATGGGGGCGTCCACATGCGGTTCCCCCACCCAGGACAGCAGTTCGTAGCCCCCAGCAGGAGCTCCACCGTAGGCACCAGTGGGGGTGGCCACTTGCGGTTCCCCAACCCAGGGCAGCGCTTCGTAGCCCCAGGTGGAGCTCCACCGTAGGCGCCAGCGGGGCTGTCCGCATGCGGTTCCCCCTACCCAGGGCAGCGCTTCGTAGCCCCAGAGGGAGCTCCACTGTAGGTCACAGTGGGGGGTGTCCGCATGCGGTTCCCCCACCTAGGGCAGCGTGTGAAGGCCCCAGTTGGGGCGCCCGCGTGCGGCCCCCCCACCCAGGGTAGCGCTTCGTAGCCCCACAGGGAGCTCCACCGAAGGCCCCAGTGGGGGTGTTCGCATGCGTCTGCCCTACCCAGTGGTAGCGCCACCGAACGCGATATTCATAGTTGCAGTATTCACAGCTGCGTATGGTTGTGTCATTCGCCAGGCTAATGGTTCACACGTCCTCAAATGCGTGCTTTCCATCGCCATGGCGCGATGGTAGCAGCGCGTCGCGCCTCGGAAGGGCGACGATGGGGCGCGAAGTTACACGCGTTTCGCGTGCCCGAACTCCCGCGGGGCAAAGCAATCTGGCCTCTGGGCTTCAAACCCCATCCCCCCCCCCCCCCGCGCGGCAGCACCGAAGGGCGCGATAATGCCTCGCCTCGCGCCTCGCGGCCTGCCCGCCAACGCGCGGTGGTGTGCGTCGGTAACAGCGCTCCCCCCCGTCGATCGCCTCACCTTGTTGCCCCCCCTCTTCCGCGTCCGTCGTGTCCGTGCCGTGCGTAGCCAGTTTTGGCCCGAGCGTGGGGTTGCTCGGCCGTGCGTTTCGCATCCTCAGGCCTGCTGCAGTCGACATGAACCATTCCCAGAAATGGTACGATGCGCGAGGATTTTGTCCCTACCGTTTTGCTAAACTATTGGCGCCTCAATATACCGTGGTGTGGAAACTGGTCGAACACGTTATTCCCATAATTTTCTTATATATGCCTGATGACCGCGACCTCGTTCTTCTGGAGTGTCGCCCTGATGCAGGTGATATTGCAGCTGCAGCCCAAGCTAGTGGCCCAACTATGATTGTGGATTCCCAATATGGACCATACATGAATATCAGGCGGTTGATTGGATTCGAAACTATATTTCGTTTATGTATGAGAGTAGTCGCTGGTGGCACAGCGTGGATATCGCCTGATATAAGAACGTGGCTATGTACGCACCAATTGAGATGGAAAGGTAACCCACAAGGTGACGATGGCCTATTTCCAGTTCGCGAGGCCAACTCCGAGGTCATGAAGTGGTGTACCTTGTCTGTCATCATGTGGCTCAGAAAGGTGTTTATCACCAACGTATGCCCACACATACCCTCACCCTCCTCATCCTCTGCCCCCCTCTTTCTCCTCCACCTCCTCCTCCATCATCCTCCCTCATCCCCCTCCCGCCTCTTCCACCTCCCTCATCCTCCTCCTCTCCTCATCCTCATCGTCCTCCTCATCCTCCTCCTCGTCCTCCTTGTCATCCTCGTCCGCATCGTCCGCCCAACCTGGCACCCTCCTGACCATCCCCCATTCCCCCTCTCCACCCATCCGTCTCCCCCATCTCCACCTCCCCAATTCCCCACCCCGCCACTGCCACCCTCTCCACCCGCCCCTCTCTGCCCTTCCCCTCGCCACCCTCCTGACCCCTTTTTCCTTCCCCTCTCCGCATTTCATGTCTCATCTCCCTGCCCCCCCTCCCCCCCCCCCCCCTCCCCCCCCCCCCCCCCCCCCCCCCCCCCCCCCCCCCCCCCCCCCCCCCAATTCCCAACGCTTCCCCCCGTCTGACAGCGCCCGTCGCCTACCATGTTGCGCTGAAGGTGCACGTCGTCTGGCAGCACCCCCCGTCTACCATGCTGTGGTCGTTTCAGTATACAGAACGACTCATCAGTTTAATTTTGACGTTCGTGACTCGGAGTTGGATCATCAACGCTGAGAACCGCATCAAGGAGATCAATATATATATATATATATATATATATATCACGGCGACGCCCAGTTCAGAGAGCTGGAGCGGGCCGCGATTGGTTCTAAACGAGATTTCCATATGACGATGATGTTGATCAGGATGGTTTTAGATCATCATGTTAAACATCATCATCATCATCATCACATGGAAATCTTGATTGGACCATTGGAGGCCAAAAAGGACTCGATGACAATGACCATGTATTTCGAAATCATCGGCGGTGTCGTCAACAACTTGCACCGCTCGCATGTTCTGAACCGCCAGAAAAGCATGATATCATTCATGAGGTTCGCTCCTCCGTCTGATGCTGAGACTGCGACTGATGATGGGACAGATGCTACACCAATTAAGCGGCGGCGAATTATGTCCAAGACTCCAGATTCCAGTGCAGCTACTCCAACTGGTTCAATTTCACCAGCTGATATTGCACCAAATTCACCAACTGGTGCTAGTTCACTGGCGGCGTCACCAACTGGTTCGATGCCACCGACTTCAGCGAGCTGGTCTGCGGGCCTTTCGTCTTCGGCGTACTCGTTCACGGACATTGCGAAGGAATATATTATGTCAAGTGGCAGTTCACCAACACCTTCGGCAGTTATGCCATCAAGCATTTCAGCATCGCCTTCGGCGGGTACTCCAGCAAGCAGTTCAGCAACACCGTCGGCAGGCACTTCAGCAAGCAGTTCGGCAACACGTGTGGCAGGCACTTCAGCAAGCAGTTCATCAGCTCATTCGGCAGGCGCTTCAGCTGATATTCCAGATGACGAGATTATTGCCATGGCAAAGTGGCTGAAAGTCTGATGATGTCAGCATGTATTCGATGACGACGTAACCGCCAACGTAGATTCGGTATTCGATTCTGGTGCGTTCAGCAGATATTCGAAGTGGTTCAACTTATGAGGCGGGGTGGACGGTCACGGTCGACAGCAGGTGTGCGACACATTCTCTCGAATGTGATTTGGGACATATCGTATCAGATATGGACATGGTTTCAGATCGAATGGGTTGCCCGTGCGTACTGGCAAATGATTCCTATCGGTCTTTCGTTATCGTTCATCATCTGCACACTCATCAACCACGATCTTGCATCATTACGGTCATCATAGATTCACGACCGCTCATCATTCACACGCGTGTACCATCAAGTATTCACGACCACCGATCATTAATTGCAATCACCATTCACCATCATTTGTACTTTACGATTATATGAAGGACGTGAATGGTGGTATGTATGGGGTACGACACAAAGGGCGGCGAAAACTGATGACAAGCCGATGGCGACACATCATACATAGATGGTGATGAAAACAATGCTGATAAGCACACTGATGACGTTTATGGTTGCACATTATGCTATAATTGCACATTAAGTACTGGTTGGACCTTATGTTTATATGGTTGTTTTGGTTGCACGGTATGTTATGGTTGCACATGGTTATGGTCGCAATCATGTTATGGCTGCACATACTGTGTCTATGTCATCCGACTGTGGCGGGAAGACGAAGTGGGCGTCGTTATGTCGTATCGGTAATCGTGCGACGTGCGTTGTGGCTTGAGATCTGTGTGGTGCAAAGATAATTGCGCGGTGTCAAATTCTGATTAGACGTTGCAGGTCATATCCCGATCACTGAGTGTGGGGTTGAGCGGGCTAGGGCGAGATGCGGAGTGTGCAGGAATCGACCGAGTCTTGATGTCGCCTCGGTCTTGCCAGGCATTGGGGCGCTGGCTGAAGTCCACCAAGAAGGTCGCGCCTGTGGATGCCACACCCACGGTGACGCCGCCCGAGAAGAAGATCCCGCCCAAGACGACCCCGCCCAAATCCGAGGATAAGTTGTTGCTCATGGCGAAGACCTACACGGCCGTGCCAACTCGGAAGCAGCAGCTGAAGGTACCACTTTTTTCGTTTCGCCTGAGACTGCCTCGCAGCACGTTTCGCCCGAGACATCGTCGCAACTCTGGGGTCCGAAATGCCGCGCGCGAGGTGGTCCAGCCCGTTACGCTGGAGACATCCTCGCAACTCTGGGCTCCGAGATGTTGTTCGGGATGAATAGGAGGTGGTGGAGGAGGAGGAGGAGGAGGAGGAGGAGGAGGAGGAGGAGCGACAACGACTGCGTCGATGATGACGATGACGAGTCCCCTGTTCGGTAGATATGCCTCCAGGCAGAGATCAACTTCGCCTCCCGCTTGGCGGGATGGAGAGGTATGAAACGTATACATACTCAACCTTTGGCCATGCACCCTCCTCAACCCAGGGCCCCCAGTGCAGAGTGTGCGTCGCCAGGCAATGGCCCCCCTGCTGATGGCGACGGTCAAGGGCAATCAAACCAGGGCGAGCAAGAGTGACCTCGCGGAGGCCAAGAAGGTCATCGATCTCCCAACCACTCCACCTTCACATCCAACAATCCCCTCACCCCAAAACATAACCTGGCGAAGGACCCAACCATATGCAGTTGTGAATATCGGTTTCAGTGGCGCTACCTCTGGGTAGGGGAGACGCATGCGAACGCCCCCACTGGGGCCTTCGGTGGAGCTCCCTATGGGGCTACGAAGCGCTGCCCTGGGTGGGGGGACCCGCATGCGGATACCCCCACTGGGGCTGTCGGTGGAGCCTCCATATGGGGCCACGAAACGCTGCCATGGGAGGAGGAACCGCATGCGAGCACCCCCACTGGGGCCTACGGTGGGACCACGAAACGCTGTCCTGGGTGGGGGAACCGCATGCGGACACCTCCACTGGGGCTTTCGGTGGGGCTCCCTATGGGGCTGCGAAACGCTGCCATGGGTGGGGGAACCGCCTGTGGACACCCCCACTGGGGCCTACAGTGGAGCTCCCTATGGGGCTGCGAAGCGCTGCCCTGGGTGTGGGAACCGCATGTGGACACCCCCACGGGGGCCTTCGGTGGAGCCCCCTATGGGGCTACGAAGCGTTGCCCTGGGTGGGGGAAACGCATGTGGACACCCCCACTGGGGCCTTCGGTGGAGCTCCCTATGGGGCTGCGAAACGCTGCCCTGGGCGGGGGAACCGCATGTGGGCACCCCCACGGGGGCCTTCGGTGGAGCTCACGATGGAGCTACGAAGCGCTGCCCTGGGTGGGGGAACGCATGTGAACACCCCCAATGTGGCCTTCCTTGGATCTCCCTATGGGGCTACGAAGCGCTGCCCTGGGCGGGGGAACCGCATGTTGACGCCCCCACTGGTGGCTTCGGTGTAGCTCCTTATGGGGTTGCAAAACGCTGCCATGGGTGGGGGGACCGCATCTTTCGGTGGAGCGCCCTATGGGGCAACGAACCGCTGCCCTGGGTGGGGGCGCCGCACGTGAACACCCCCACTGGGGCTGTCGGTGGAGCCTCCTATGGGGCTACAAAACGCTGCCATGGGTGGGGGAACCGCATGTGAACACCCCCGCTGGGGCCTTCGATGGAGTTCCCTATGTGGCTGGGAAAGGCTGCCATGGGTGGGGGGAACCGCATGTGGACACCCCCACTGTGGCATTCGGTGGAGCTCCCCATGGGGCTACGAAGCGCTGCCCTGGGTGGGGGAACCGCATGTGGACACCCCCACTGGTGCCTTCGGTGGAACCCCCCATGGGGCTACGAAACGCGTGAGAAGTGCGCCGAGAGCAGCGGCAGGGGGGGGGAGTGGGGAGGGCGGGACGGAAGGAGAGGACTGCGGGGCGCCGTCTCTTCAAACCGAGGGCCCAAACCACAGGATGGTTGTGAAACAACTTCCTACACCCTCCCCGTCCGCACCCTCCGCCCGCTCCGACTGTCACTCCCCCCACTGCATCGTCCGCCGCCCATGTCTCCGTCTAACTCCGCTCACACCCGATATTTTTATTCCTCCAATCTTCGTCACCAATCTTCCTCCTGCCCTCATCCGATATTCCTATTCCTCCCATATTCGTCATCCCTTCCTTCCCCTGCCCTTCCTCCAATCCTTGGTGCTCCTTCCTCCTCCTGCCCTCGTCCATGTTATCCACCTCCTCCTCCTCCTCCTCATCCACATCAGCATCCTCATCATCCGTCTCTCTATCCTCCTCCTCCTCCCCCTCCTCTTCCTCCTCCTCCTCCTCCTCCGCATCCTCCTCTTCCTCATCCTCCTCCCCCCCCATCCCCCGACGTGCAGCATGTCGCATCTGGTGCCAGCCCACTGTCGGGCGTTCAGAACACGCTTTGTGTTGAGATCGTGGAACGTGCGTCGCGGTTTCGGGTGAGTTCCCATGTTAATTTCCTCATAATGCGCATGTCGTTTTACATGTGTGGGTGCTCATACTGCGAATCAATTCCTCTATGTGTGCGCATCTCGCCAGGTGCTCGATGGCGCGCGCACGGTGGTGAACCAGCTCAGCGACATCATCGCTGACGCCAAGCCGCCCGTGAAGGCGGCCATCAAAGTGATGGTGAACGGCCAGGCCGTCATGAAGCAGGCCAGGTCCATGAACTTGGCCATCACGGGTTTGTTCTGGCGTGCCAGCCGCAGCGATTTCTTTCTGCGCATGGCGTGGCGGGCGGGGATTGCCGAACGAGGGTGGCCGTCGCGTCCCCCCTCGACCATAGTATCTTTCGTTGACTAGTGCAGCAATTGAGAACCTAATAATGTACGAAGCTGGTCGTGCCTCGCGCCTCGCGGCCCGTGCTAGACATGCGCCGTGCGGCGAATTCGCCCATTGAGCGCGCGAAGATAATTGCGCGTTCCGAATCCGTCATGTTGGACGAGCGTTCGTATGGTTCCCGATTGCATGCACCCTCTCATATTGCTCTGGGCCGCGTGGGTGAAGCTGCGTGCATTTTTTCAGTGCGCGAGACAGCTGCCCCGAGGATAGCACTCGGAGCATAGCGAGCGGTGGGCTTGCTGCGATCCACATGTGTAACACGTACCATACTTTGGCAACGTTTAACATTTATATATATACACACATGTGTTCACTATGCATGTCATGACTGATGATAGCATGTGTTGTTCCGCCCACGCGGCGACTGTTCGGGCCTGGACTGTCGGTGTAGGATCGTGACAACATTAAGAATTAGAGTGTCCACCCATGTGTTCAATATACATCCAATGAATGGTGACAGTCTTTGGTGTCCGCCCATGTGGCGACTGTTAGGCCTGTACGTTTGGGGTAGGATTGCTATCTGCAGCTGTCGGTTGCCCAATAATGTTGCGGCGAGCGGCCAAGCGGCGTCTCCCCGCGCCAGACTCGGGAGCGTCTGCCTCCTGCTCGGGCGATGGCCGCGACTGTGATTCAGATAGTGCCCATGAGGTCGAGGAGCGCAACAGTTCGTCTTCTCTATCCACGCTCATGCTGAAAGACTGGGCGTGGGGTCGTTTGTATGGCACTGAAGTGCATAGGTATTGTTTGGCTGCGTACCGTGACGGGATGGCGGGCGTCAAGGAAATTGCAGACATCGCGGCCATGGGGGGCTGGGGCGAACATCCGCAGAACATTCATCGAGATTCAACTCGCAAGTACTTGAAAGATATAACATTGCCTAAACCAGAAGTGTTCCCAGTACGCTGCGTTGAGCCAGGGACTTTGAAAGTCATTCAGCATAATTGTCATTGTATGCTGCCTCACGATATGTTCAGCAGCCTGTTCCATTCGCATCGGCTTGAATTTCAAGAAACGTTCGGGTTGGAACGTATGCCTGCCTTTTGGGCGGGTGCGAGCAGGCTCAGGGAGCTGAACGTAAGATGTCGCATGTCTCCAGCCACGTGTCGTGCGTAGACAGCGCGATCCACTCGCAAGCAATGCCTGCAAGTGGCGCCCCAGACATGTTTCTGGAGTCTGGCATACGTTGGACAACACGGCGTATTGGTGTGACCGACAAAAACATCAGGCAAACGCGTGCCTGAAGTTTCTCTGACGTTTGACAAACGTCAGAGGTACATCAGACAAACGTCTGCCTGAAGTTTCTCTGACGCTTGACAACGTCAGAGAAACATCATACAAACGTTTGTCTGAAGTTTCTCTGACGTTTGACAAACGTCAGAGAAACATCATACAAACGTTTGTCTGAAGTTTCTCTGACGTTTGACAAACGTCAGAGAAACTTCAGGCAAACGTTTATATGACGGTTGTCTGACGCGTGCCAGTCTTATGGGGCGGTGTTACAGCTCTGAAACCAATGACAGGTGCGTCGCCCAGGTTTGGTTTTACCCCCATCAAGATTCACACGGTGTGCGTCTGCAGTTTCGTCTAATTCCCTTCCAGGTCCGACCCCCGTCTCCGCAGACACCCAGTTTGGAAGATCCCTGACCGCGAGAAGCACGCCATCCCAATGCGAATACATGGCGACGGTGGTGAGATCTTAACTGCTGAGTCAATGATGGTTATATCGATGTCTGGTCTGCTTGCACGGGGCTCGACACGAGAGTTGTCATTGTTGATACGGGCGCGGCCGTACAGTGGCACTGCAAAGAGGAAACACCACGACGGACACGACACGTGGCACGAGATATGGCGAGTCGTTCGCTGGAGCTTGAACGCCCTCGCTCAGGGCCGCCATCCATCCAAAGATACCATCGGCCGTTGCCTTTCCCGCAGACCCCCAATACATCGCCAACCTTCTGTCGGTGGCTGTCATTCTGGTTTTCGGTTTCGAACGCCTCACGTTTCGACAATTACTAATCCATTGCGTTGTGGCGCGTAGTGTTTTCCAAACCGCTTCAAGATAATGTATTGTCCATGGCTTGGGCTTGCTCGTCGTGGGCGGCGGATTGGAACAATGAGGATTTCGTCGCTGGCCCCCGCCGCGCCCAATTAGCAGGAGAGCTGTTGTGCGACAGCCAGACGCCATACAGGGCATGGGTATACGCAATCATGGGTGATCTCGAATTCTACGCCAACCATTTGGGAGCCCCGTCTAGCAATTCAGTCAAGATGTGTTGGGCGTGCGATGGGAACAGGTCCGACAACCCATGGAATGATTTCAACAAGGACCCATGGGCTTTGAAACTTACGATTTGTCTCACCCCCTCCCCCCTCTTGGGAATTGGGAGAAGGTGGGTGGTGGTGGAACAGGTTGTGGGTACCGATGCGAGGGAGGACAAGGTGGCGGCGTGGGGATGGATGGATGGGGGAAGGAGGATGAGGGGTTGGTTTGGTTGGATGAATGACATTGTGTTAAAATCCATGTCATAGGACCGTGCCCCGTGGATGACTCGGCCACGTGCCGAACCATACGTGTTCAACCACCATCTGTTTAATGTATGGGGGGCGCGTGGCGCGACGCTGGCGCCCGACGCCATGCACACTGTCGATTTGGGAGTAGCATCCCACGTCTTGGGAAACATATTTTACGAACTAGTGCATGAACAGACCGCTGGTCCAGCAAACGATGCAGTCGGTATCTTGTGGAGAAAGATCAAAGAATTATATAATGATCTCGGCACGCGTGGGCATAGGATGTCGTCCCACAGCTGTCGCTGATCCGCCGCTGTTTCTTGACCATGGTATACGGCTGTGCGGTTGCATTGCGTTGGTTGACGGTTTGGCGTTCGGTGATTTATATCATATGTGTGGTGTGGAATGAATGGGGCGTGAACGTGTGACCAATTTCATTTCATCTTGCGAGCCGTGTTTCTGGTGTTTCCAGAGTGCGGGCGATTCGGGCTCAATTTTTTCCTGTCTAATTCGAAAAGCCCTCATGCATACTACCCGTGTATGACTACTAAGACCAAGGCGGCTGCCCAGCGAGCGTTGCTTCCAGTTGCAGCTGCGCTGGCATCATCGTATAACGATGGTACTAGAATGCGACAGATGAGGGACGCGTGTGCGTCCAATTTGAACACGTTCTATCAGGTCATTGAGGCTGCAGGGATGTACCTTTCAGACGAAGAGCATCAAGCATGCATGACAGCAGTTGAACGCACGTTGGTTTTTTTACGGTGCGTTGGCATCGGATGCTAAACCGCAAAATAAGTTTAAATGGAGTATTGTGAACAAGCATCACCACTTCTGGCATATCGGAGAATCTACTAAACACATCAATTGTAGGTGGTTGTGGTGTTATCAAGCCGAAGATTTTATGCGTCACATCTGTAAGGTCGCAAGTACAGTAATGATGGGATCGCCGCTGCTCCAGCTGTCGTGTAAATTATGCGAGCGTTGGAGAATTGGCTACTATTTCGATTTAGTTCGGCCAAGTGCCGACTGATTGGGAGCGCGCCAGAAACGGCGGGCAATGGAGGGGCGCAACAACAAATCTCCACCGTTTCCTCATGCTCCTCCGTCTCGTCCTCCTCCGCCTCCTCCTCGTCCTCATCTTCACCCGCCTCCTCCTCCTCCTCTTCCTCCTCCTCCTCCTCCTTCTCATCTGCCTCTCCCCTCATCCGCCTGTCATTCCATTTCTGTTTCATCCACATCCTCCTCCCCCCGACCTAACAAATGCCCCCCCTCGTCGTCCTCCTCCTCCTTCGTTCGCCTTCATTATTCAATTCGTCCGCGCCATCATCCGAACCTCTCTGGTCCCCCCCCTTCCCCCACTTTATCACTTGCATTATGCATATCCCCGCTCCTGCCTCTTCGCTCCTCCCCCCGATCCCTCTCAACATCTGTATGACCGATGACGGTGATGACGATTATGGTGACTATGTGTGGTGGCGATAATGATGATGCTGGTAACGATGGCAATGACGATGCTGATCGTGATTGTGATGCAAGTATTGGGGTGGTGATGGTGCAGCATGTATTCGTGATGTTGATTGTGATGAACATGACGATGAACATATTGATAACGATGATGATGATGAGGAGGAGGAGGATGATGATGATGGCGATGATGATGACGATGATGCTGATGATGATGGTTATGATGCTGGTGATGTTGATGATGATAATGATGATGATGATGATGGTGATGATGATGATGCTGATGATGCTGATGATGATGGTGATGATGGTGATGGTGATGATGATGATGATGATGATGATGATGATGATGATGAACAACACGCGGCTCAGATCAAACGCCCTACGCATAACACGCGTCGGACGGTCAAGCACGCACGTTGGTCTGACGTTTGCCAAACGTCAGATCAACATCGCCAAACATCTGCGCCCCATCTCTGGATCAGCTGCGCCCCATTTTGCGACGCATGTCGCGCCCCATCTTTCCTCTGATCGCGCACCATTTTTGTGCGTTCGAGCGTACCCCACGGCGCCCCATCTTACAGGTTATACCGGTTGAGCCCCATTTTTGACAAGGTTGTTCAACGCTACCCATTTTTTGGGGGCGCGGAGCATCTGGGATTCTTTCCGTGCCCATCTCGGGCGTCCAAACCGGAGCCCCGGCGCCCCAGGTGCCGCCGGCCGTTCGCGCCGGCTGCCACGGCCGCATGATGGAGGACTTCGGCGGGCAGGGCGGCTTCAGAGCGCAGACGGTGAAGGGAGCTTCGGACAGGGGGAGCAAACAACGACATAAACAGAAAAACTCCCAGGTCCGCGCAGATTCCTCGGATTGGCGCTGGGGCCCACTGGCGGCGCTTCCGGCGACGCACCT